CAACTACGGGGACCCTCCCCAGTCCCTTCACTGAGTGACGAGGGGCGGCCACCTGCCATCGCAAAAGGCAACGCGCCCCCGGGGCATTCCGCGCGAGGACAGCGTCTCGGGAGGGGCCGGGGCGAGGCGGGGGGAAGGGAGGAGACACTCACGTTCTTCATGGCCGCGGCCATGTCGTCGTAGCGCTCCGCCTGCTCGGCCAGCCGGGCTTTCTGCACCAGTTGCTCGCGGTCCACCATCTTCGCGGACTGGGTCGGGCCGGAGGAAGAAGACCTGGATGGCCTGATACGGCTTAAGGAGAGAGGCTGCGGCGCGGCTTGGAGCCCGAGTGCAGGAGGGACCGACCCACGAAGCGAGGGGTGAGGCAGAGGAGGTGGCACGAGATGCGACCGCGGAACCAGGCGCGAAGCGGCTGCGACTGCTATGCGTGCCGCGGGAGGACAACCCCCTGCGGCCCCGCCCACGCTGCGTGACGCAATGGCCCCGCCCACCAGCGCCCCGCCCGGGCCCTTCCACGGCTCGGTCTTCCGGCGCCCCGCGAGGTTTGCTGATATCTTCTGGGCGTCTCCCCACTTCTCCAACGTTCCCTTTCCTTCACATCATACCGGTTCCTTAGCCCCAACTTTTCCAGACACCTCACCGTCCTCCGCTCCCCTCCCCCGCTCTTCCTGGTCTTAGGCGCTTGGACTCTTGGGATTTGTAGTTCTCTCCGTTGCGGGCTGGCCCGTTAAGGAGACCGAAGACAAAGGGACCAGTGAGACTACATCTCCCAGCGGGCGTATCGCGCAGGGGGTGGAGGAAGGGCAGGGGGCGGTATTCTAACCCCGCGGCCGCTGAGGACCTCTGGTGGGGATGAGTGCTGCTTCAATCCGAGCCTGTGCTGATTCACGCTTCACCCCACCGCCACCTTCCTTCCATTCCTTCGGGCGACTGGGAGGAGGCAAGGGCTTCAATTCTAGACCGAATTTCCGACTTTTTTCTTTTAAGCAGAACTTGGGTTTGGGGAAATGGGGCGTGTGAGAGGGAAGGAAAGCGCGCGTCCACTGACGAACCAAAGTGTCCATCTACCATCATCTAGAGGAGTGCATACCCGTAGGATAGCTGAATTAAGGGGCTAAACCCTGCAGGACTGTTACCTTGTCCACTTCAGCAAGGTTGCAGTTCCCTTCCGCACCTCGAGGTTCTTGGGCTTGACTAGGTGAAATTGTGAAACGACAGATACCAGTTGGACATACTGGTTAATTTCCAGGAAGAAGGCAACTGTCTGCAGGCTGACCCTGGAGGGTCCCTTCTTCCTTTCCCAGAGGTATGCTAAAGATTCAATTCAGTGACCAAGAGCCTATTCGCAGCCTAACCCGGGATTGTCTAGTTGTCCACTCTTTCTTCCCATTAAAGTCATATCCAGTGAGATCAGGCTGATATATTCTTGCTTATTCTATATAGCACACACACTCCACAGTTTTGATTGCATTATTTTATTTATTTTAATCAATTATCAGGCTGGGCGTGGTGGCTCACGCCTGTAATCCCAGCACTCCGGAGGCTGAGGCAGGAGGATCACTGTGAGTTCGAGACCAGCCTGGGCTACACAATGAGTTCCAGGTCAGTCTCAACTACATAGTGAGACCCTGTCTCAAAAAACAAAAAAATAAAAAATAAATTATCTACTGAGTGCCTACTGTTTCAAGTACTGTTCTAAGCAATGGAGTACAGCACTGAACAAAACAGACAAAACTCACCCTAAGAAAGTAATCAAGAGAGAGAAAAAAATGAGGGTATAAGTGAGTGACAGAGCTTGTGCTTAGCTTGCTGGAGGTCATTATTTCAAACCCCAGCAAGCCCCAAAAATAAGGAATTTGTAGAGTATCTTTAAAAGTAGTAAGTACAAAAATAAATTAGGGGTGGGCTATTAAATGTGTATGAGAACCTAGAATGAATTTCTGTGAGGGAATATACAGGTTCTATATCATATGCTGGAAGAAACCTGTCTTAAAGGAAATTAGAATGTTAAATGCTGTAAATATGTTTTAGGTTTTTTTTTTTTTATTTCAGGGTAGACACGAAATTCTGAAAAGGTGCTCCACAGAGCTTGCTAACATTTCCAAACAGCCTTTAAAGGATTGTAGGATTTAAGAGCTGGCAGAGAGATAGGTAGCAAGACTGGGAAATAACTTTCTTTTAGACATGGTTGTGGTTAAGCAGTGTCTCGGTGATACGTGTTGGGGATGGAGTCAGGGACCAAAACACAAGGAGTGCAGAATGGCAGGCTAAAGATTCAGGAGAGTCCTGTTTGTTTTATTTTGTTTTTGCAGTGATGGGGCTCAAACCCAGGACCTTGCACATGCTAGGCAAGTGCTCTACCACCAACTACACTCCCAGCACAGGAAATAGATTTTTTTTTTTTTTTGGCACCAGGGATTAAACTTGGGTCTTTGTGCTTGCAAGGCAGGCAGCAGAACCACTTAGCTAAATCCCCAGCCCAGATTTTTGTTCTGAAACAGAAAACCTGTGAGACATTTTAACAATGGGGAAAAAAACAAAAACAAAAGAGAAAACTTCTTGACCTTTTGGCAAAGATCAAGTGTAGAAACAATGGCTTTTCCAGACACCTCCACTGTCATTTTGTCTTATCACTGTTGACTGTGCAGTGCTTGTCACAGTACTTTACACATAGTAAGCACATGGAACACATGGAATGAATGAATGAATGAATGAATGCCCTTTGGAGAGACTGTTCAGGCAAGATTGTAGGAGATGGACTGAGTGGGGAGGCAGTCTAGAAATAGTTCTCTTCTCCCACCCCTCCTCCAACACAGGATCTGGCCTGGCCTCTCTTCTCTTACCACACCACCCAGCAAAATGCAATCCTGCTGGTGAATAAACCCTCCCACTTCCTTCTGTCTCTTGCAGGAACCTTTGCCAAGTCATTCCTCTTCCTTTCTCTTCCTCCCTGTAGGCCAGACGTGAACCACTCTGGCCTAGAGCATCCCTGAGCCATGGGAACAAGCCTTTCCAGCCAACCCTAGTTATCCACATATGCATGAAGCAAATCAGTGATTTGGGCCCCAGATGCTGAATCTCAGGAACTTCCTGGCACATTTCAAGCCGCCTCTCTGACCTCTCCACCCCAGTTCCTTCCCCCACTAGTCTACCACTCTTGTAAAAAAGAAAGGAAAAAAAATCCAGCTCAAGCCAAATCTGTTTGGGAAAAGTGAAGCAGATGCGAAGTAAAGGATGTTCCACAGCTAAAAAGGGATGACATCCACACTCTCCCTATCGAGGCTTCCTTCCAGGGGTGCAGGGGAGGGCTGGCCTTGCCTTCCTTTCCCTTTGATTTAAGGCTCTAGGGTTAAAACTGCCCGACAAAAGCTGGGCGTGGTGACTCACACCTGTAATCCCAGCACTTGGGAGGCTGAGGCAGGAGGATCACTGCAAGTTTGAAACCAGCCTAGGCTACACAGTGAGTTCCAGAGCAGTCTAAACTACATAGTAAGAACCTGTCTCAAAATACCAAAAAAAAATTAAAAACTGCCCAGCAGCCCCTGTGTGTTTAGAGCTCTGCTTCAGAGGCTGCAGCATGACACAGTAAATGGGCTAATGGCCTGGATTCCCCCTTAACTGCCTGATAGTGTGGTCAAGAAATCTGGAGCTGGGAGCTAGAAAGTTAGCATTCCAGCTTCTGCCTGCCTCCCCTCCACACCCCAGCTCTACATCCAAGGCTTGTCTTCCCTCTGGATCTCAGTTTCCCCACCTTTAAAATAAGAATTAAACTCTCTGCCTGCTTCGCAAGCGCAAGGACCCGAGTTTGATCCCCAGTACCAAAAACATAAAATAAATTCAATTAAAAGAATTAGCACTAGGAAAAAAAAAAAGAATTAAACTAAATGAGCACTAGGTGCCCCACCCAGCTGTGATGAGTCATAGTGGTAGACTGGGCTTCTTCTGAAATGAAAGCTATTGGCATTCTTTATAGAAACAGAGGGGAGGGGGTCTGTGACTGTAACCTGGGAGATGATTAAGGCCCACAGTGCAAGAGGCTCAGAATCGTTGTTTTTTAAAACAAAAATGCTGAAACAGAGAGGCTCTGTGATCAGCCAAAGAATCACACAGCCAGTGACTAATAGAACCTGACTCAAACCTAGGCAGGAGCAAAGGCACCCTCTCTGTCACAGCTGTGAGTCTCTACCTTGCTTGACATCTGCTCAGGAAAAGGAAGGGCCTTGCCCATTGGTGGCCAACCTGGCACAAGGGCACAATCAGTCCCCCTTTTCAGCACTGGAGGATGTGACCTTTTAAATGCATCCTCTATGGCTGAGTTGGCAGAGGAGCAGGCCAGTCAGGGACATCAGTGTCCTGCTGTTTCTGTGCAGTTATAAATCACCGCAGCCCCATCCCCTGGTTGCTGACTTCCGTCCTGTGGCTGGAAAGCTCCCTGATTAGTGCAGAGACAGCAGCAGCATCTTCTGAAGCCGAAATCGACCCACAGTGCTCCTCTCCTTGTCCTCTGGGGATACTTCCTCATCATCGCCCTAGCAGGCTGGCCTTTAGAGGCAGAGAACACCATGGATTTAGAAGCAAAGGATAGTGGGAGAATCTTATCAGAGAGAATCTGCCACTCCTGGACCAGCAGAGGAGGCCTGTGCTAGGAAGAAGGACCTAAAAGTCATGGCCCTGACTTTGCCATTGAACTTGCTGGGTGACCTTGGGCAAGTCACTTTACTTCTCTGGTCTCAGACTGTACATCTATAAAGTAAAGAAACTGCATAGAGGGACAGAGATTTAGCTTGGTGCTACCACCTGCCTTGTAAGTGCAAGGTCCCAAATTTAATCCCCGGTACCAAAACAAACAGACACACAAACAAACAAAAGAAATTGGATGGATGCTTCTTAAAATCTTTCAGTCACCAGGCATTGTGACTTGCATCTGAAATCCCAGCTACTCAGGAGATTACCAGGGTTCCAGGGTGCTGTGGACTCCTTCCCGTCCCTTGTCCTAAAATTTTAACAAGACAAGTGAAAAATGTAGCAAGGTTTTACATTTATATTTACTAAAGGTGAGAAAAGAGAGGAGTTCTCTGAAAAGAGCACTCTGCAGGGTGATTTTGGGACACAGAGAGAGAAAGGAAGTGGCCATGTCTTTTTTATCACGATTCTGATGTCAGATCTAGGCTGTCCCATCAAAAGCCCGCTTGATCTCCTGCTGCCAGAAGAACTGAAGATACCATTCTCTGCTATCAGTTATAGGGCTTGGAAGCTCTTATGTGAATTTGTCCTGGCTGTGATTGACAGCCCACTTCCCGTTTGCCACACCCTAGTCACCTGCCTCACTGAGGCTGGGGCGGGAGAATCATTTGACCCCATGAGTCAGAGGCCAGTGTGGGTAACATAGTGAGACTCTGTCTCAAAAAAAAAAAAAAAAAAAAAAAAGATCCTCCTGCCTTACCTCCTGAGTG